CCCCCCCCACCCCACACGATGCCATATGAGTACGTATGGTAGTACTTCCCCTCTTTCCAAATACACATTCTATTTTAACTTCACAAAATTTATAGTAAAAAAAAAGTTATCGTTCTTTCTGTATAGTAATTTCTTTCACGTTTTGAGTTGACACGGAGATTAAGAAAACCTAAAAAAGTAAAGACTATCCATGTTTTTCTTTGATAAGATGAAATAAAGTAAATAATGTTGATGGAAAGTGGAAGTGCAATTGCACATTCATTAAAAAAAAATCGGTAAAACAGGGAATGAGAAATAAATTTTTGGATAGCCGAAAAAGAAAAATGGAAAACAATTAATGGACGGAGAGAGTAATAAATATAAACATAATTTGTTTTTAGAATAAAAAATTTGTCTTAATTTATGCAAATAATAGAAGTGAAAAATATTTTGCCAAACAAAGTATACTATTAGAGCATACAAAAATATTCTTAATATGCCTATAAGTTTGAACTATTGAGTGAATTAATTTTTTTGACAATGAAGAGTATTGTTATGACTGTTTTGTAAGCCATCATTGAAAAGTAGCATTGATTACTTTTTGGTTTGAAAACATGTACTCGATCCTTAACTTTCTAAATTAATTGCCTCCTTAACTTTCTAAATTAATTTTTTCAAAAAAAAAAACTTTCTAAATTAATTAGTCAATAACCTACCAAAAAAGATTTTTAGATTAAGCTGGCATGGATCATTTGGATTTGGCTATGGATGTTTTTAGGATGAGATTGATGCGGTCTTTTTGTGTAATCGGTTTATACTAATTCGATATTCGTTAAAAAATAAAGACTTTTTTTGGAATAAATAGTCCAGTTAAAAGTTAAGACCGGCCCAAGTCGTATTCGGATCGGTCTTTATTTACTTTTTAAAAAAGGAAAATAAAAACTTAGGAATAAAACAAAAACGAGAACTAAAGTAGATCTTTAATGTTTTTAATCCAAGGCAAATTACTACATGCACATAAGGTTTATGATAGACTTTCATATATGTTAAATAATCATTTTCAAGTGTTGAAATAAGCATTTTCAAAATTAAAAAAATATGTGAGAAAGTCCATATAGACTTTAGGTCCACCATAGAATCACTATTAATCCAAAAGTAGAAATTTGATATTTTTAATCCAAAATAAGACCTATAATGTAAATATTGCTAACATATAATACCAAAAAAATGTTGTAAATTTCATCTATACAATGCTACATTGTCACAGTGCAATTGTCATTTTTAAAAAATGAAAAAAGTCACTTCTATTTTAGAAATAAGAGTTATGATTTGCTCATATTTTGAATGATTTTTTATTTAGTTTTTAAAAGTTATATTTTAATTCAATATTATAAACTTATATTTCATATTTATATGCTTTTATAGAAAACTTATACTGTATTAATTTTAGTAACATATTATAATTTTAAATGTATAGTATACTTTTTAACCTCCTTGTGTATATAAGTAGAGCTTCCACCCCTAATCACAACAATTAGTTAGCCATAGAATACTTTTTAAAAAAAAAGAAATTGAAAGAAGATTGAGAATGAGTGGCATCCCAATTACAAATTACCCTCTTAGGGTTTCAGTGTTATTAGTAACTGTTTGTTTGCTCACCTGTTTTTTACTTTGTGGGGTTTTTTTGGCCAATCACAACCACCGCAAGAATACGAAATATCCCAACAAAACTGACTGCGCCGTCGCCGCCGCCGCCGCGACGGCGGCCCCCCTCGGAGGGAATTTAAAGAGTAGGAAGATGGCGGCGTTGAGACAAGGAGATTATTATTCTTATTATCATCTTCATCATCATCCTCGTACCTCCCTCAACTACGTGATCAAAAGAGCAGTGCCAGGTGGACCTGATCCTCTTCATAACAGGTTTATTAGTACTCTCCATGGATTTTTCATTTCCTGCAATTCAAGAAAAGTTTTGAAAAGTAAAAGAATTTAGGGTTTGAATCGATTAAGATTAGAGAAAAATTGAATAAACCAGCTCATTGTTTTTTAAAAAAAGGAGATTAAATAAAGTGTTATAAGAGATACTCCGATCCTCCCTTCTAAAAAAGAATTCCTTCCTTGACTAAGTGTGAAGATAATGAAGTCTTAATTTATAGTTGACTTCTAATTTTGTCACGGACGTGATGGATAAATGTAAGAAATGATGGATAGATTATTAGAGAAAAAAATATGATATGATAGGGTATGAAAACGTAAGGATAAAAGTGAGTTTTTAATAGAATGTGGAAGTGTTTTGTTGGGAGTGGGAAAAAACGAAA